TATTAAATATTTATTATAATAATACAAAAAATATTATAGATAAACATTTTAAACAACAGTTTAATGAGTTTCTTATACTTATAATAAACCTTTTATCACATTAACATTTGAATAAATTTTTTTTAAAAAATGAAATATTTATCATAAATTGCATTATATAATTAATCTTAACAATAAAAACATTTAAAATAATATGAAATATTAATGTTTAAAATATAATATACAAAGTATATTAATTAAATCTGAATGAAAATAATTATGTTAATTCAGAAAGAATATTAAAAAATAAAAAAATTAAATTATGCTTAGATTTTAACTGAATAAATTTCAAAATAGTTATTATATTCAGTTTTTTTAAAGACTAATAATGGTTATGTTTGGTTGTTTCTGTTCGTTTCAAATAAATAAAATATTCTATAGTCTTTCCTAGAATAAAAATGGTGACGACAGTCTAAATACGCCAAGGAAAATAATTCCGTGTTCATTACGAAGTAGAACGTAATATACATAGAACATATAATCGATAATTATAAGGTATGTTTAAACTGTTAAAATTTATTTCAAATTTTGTACTTTTGTAAGAAATTTGAGTTTATTTTTTTAAAAAATCAAGAAACGTCACACGCGTCATATGACGTAATATTTTGAATTTTTTGAAAAATTCAAACGTTACGTTTCGAAGAATTTGATTAGCTACAGTGGCGGAATGATACACATTCAAGATCCAGCACAATGGCTTCATCATTATTATTATTATCATTCCGGGAAATACTATAATAAATATTTTTATAAAATTGTAAGTTATTGTATTCAATATCTGTTATAAATAAAATTTAAAATTTTACTTTATAAAACTACGTTTTATATTCGATAAACCAAATAAATATATGCTAAAACAAAGCAAAGCAAAAAAAAAAATAAATGTGGCGCTATCTATTGTTGGAGTAGAAATAAATCTATATTAACCCATAAAAATTACTAACTAAAAGTCCTTCCATTTAATGTAATATAGCGAATACACACTATATTATAAATACTCTTTGACGGGTATAAAATAAATCATTTTTTGCATTTTTTTTATTGAAATTTATTTAATTATTTATTTAATTTTTTGAAAGAATTGGTGCTTTTGCGATAGTTATTTTTAATCTAGAGACGTGGTATTTGTCACGTATTCAATTTTCATTCGTTGAATATGACGCAGATTAACGTAGACATTTAACAACTTGCGGTTGAAGTTACTCGATTTGATATTAAAAAAAAATAATAAATTATGCTCGATCAGCGAGAACATTTCATATCTTTTATCGGAGTTAATCCGAAATTGATACAGGAAATTTTTATATTATTCTTTCATAAAACGTTAAGAGATCATTTTTCTTTTATATTTAACAAACATCAAAGACTTGCTTTGTAAACTTTAATAATAATTTACATTTACAATAAGTAATAATAAATTTATTGTAATTAATTATTTCATTTGTATTTTGATTTTAATCTGAATTTTTATTGTTTTCAAAAAGATTAAATATTTATGCTAAATAAATAAATAATTAATGTTTCTGAATTGATTTTTTTTCCTTAAAGAAATTTTACTCGGGTTGTTTTTTTAATTTAAAATTTTATCATTCGAACTGATTATAGATAATCATTAGATATTTATTTAAATCAACGTATATATAAATATTAGACTTGCAAGATTGGACGTTTTATATTTCATGTAGATAAGAGAAAAATGAACTATTTAATATTATTTAATTACAATATTACTTTAGTTAAATGATTTGTCTCTTTTTTTTTTAATTGAAAAGCTGAGATAAAGTCTTGTCATAATCGAATTATAAATTAATAGAGAAAATACAATTAATAAGTTATAAAGAATATCAAAAAATAATGGTTTCTTATGTTTTCTTCCCATTTTGGCGAGATGAAAACGTAAAGAACCATTATTTTTTTTTATATTTTTTCGTATCTTGTTAATTGTAAAAGTTTATCATCTACTTAGAAGAAAATACATAAAATTAATATTACGAATATTATTTTAAGTCATATTTAAATATTATATTTTCTACTAACTCTTCAAATATTCGATTTTTATCAATTTATTCTTTAATATATAAATAAATTAAACTACTATTCATTCGTTTAAGTTCGAATTATTGAATCAAAAAATTTGCAAAAGAATATATTGACTTTCTTTAGCTTGCAAATTGATAAAATTGTTGCTTCACTTTATTCTTTGTTTGTCAAAGAATGAAGTGAAGCAACAATTTTATTAATTATCAAATTGCATCAGATTTTCTGGTTATCACATTGCATAAATCGTTATAGACTTAAGCACTTATTGCATAAAACATTAGAAACTTTGAAAATGTTACGTCTATCATCTTCGGTATCAATCTTGTTATCTTTATACAACTTTCAAATTATAATTTCATTTTTGCTTCCTGAATTTCCAAAAAGTATAAATTGCAACATATATACAGTTCGTCGAGACGGGGAGCTGGGGATTTTTCCCTGGGCATGGAGAAACTTAGGAGCCGTAGTGATTTCTAACCGTATATAATTAACGTTATTTTTACTAACAGAAAATAAAATCTTTAAGACTGCTTTTTATTAATAAAGAAACATTATATGTATTTCATTTGTTCAAAAAACAAAAGACTAAAGGGGCCTTCTACTCCTGGTCCGTAAAA